GGTGGTCAAGCTAAGAATTGGCATGAGGGTATAAAAACCCTAACCAGGACTGTGCATCAAATAAGTCCTGTTATTCTCCCTGGCTGGGGATCTCGGAATGATTGTCACCGATGGTTAGAGACACTCAGTGATATGGCTGGGTGTCGTAGACAATGGCGTTCATGCATCTCACTTTCTTTGCATCATTAGTCGACTGAATTTTCTGTTCAATCCTACTTTCTTCCTGTTTTCCCCCTTTTGTTCACCCAAATGGGCAGCCAAAAGAAAGCAAACAAAGCGACAGACAGAAGTGCATGTTTAGTGATTGTTTAGACTGAAACGAATAATAGCAAAAATCATTTTAACCTAATAGAGTAGAGTTCGTTCTCTTTGCTCAACTAACCCTAATACAACTTTAATGCATATTGCAAACTGTTTTGCTAATATTTCACACACATCTGGAACCTGTTTACCCTCCGATACTGAACCCAGGAGTTTTGCAAACTCCAGAACCAGGGCTGAACCTCTATCCTTAATATCCGATGGAGACAACCCATCCGTACCGGAGGTCTAATATCTTTTTTACCAAGTAGCATTCATTTCAGATGGACTAACATCGATTGCTATTGGTTGTCTAGTTAAAGCAGGAGTTAGAATGCTCATTCTCCCAGGAGGTCCAAACTTCAGTAAAAATAACTAAAGCCATATACAACAATAATGAAATCTTAACGGAAGTTCATCATTGTCGGCTTAAAATTTGTTTGCTTCGGATCTTCATATTGTCAGTCAGAATACGAGCCAGATAGGGTACCATTGAATTGCGATAACTTGTTTATACGGGAGGATAAGCAGTGACAATTGGTTCGAGTGGAAACGGGAAGCAGATAGAACGGGATTGAGTGGATGACTGAGTCCGCGGAGTATCTTATGGGCGAAATTCTCACATGAAGTGGTATACAAATTACACAATTTTGTGATTCGCTTGTTTAAAGGAATAAGAAAAACAGGGTTGGTAATAACCAAACCGCGACGAAGAGTAATGAAATCCTTTTTAAGTAGGCCAGGGAAAATAATGGACGAATAAAAAATTAGGACAAGAGAAATTTATTAATAAACAAAAGAATATATAGTTGCATGCTTCGCTCCAAATTGTCGTAGCTTACGTATCTGGAAGGATAAGCGACTTAGTCTATGAAACCAAAGCTAACGCATGCGAGAACCACCGTGGATTGCTCTCTATGGTGACTTCTAGGTAGTTGATTGTGTGTTCTGATGATTGGTACAGAATTGAAGATTGAGGGTTTCAAGGGATTCTCGGATTTGGAAAAACTAAAAACGCATTTGAAACACTTAGAAGCACTCATGGTCGCGGTTTCTTATTCTTTGCTTTGACATATTTGACAGTAAAATTTGCCAATTTAATCATATGCTCCAATTTCATGACTTATCCCTAATTGGGAATGTTAATGGGTTTCACTCTACCTAATGAAAACCCTTTTAAATCTCGTAAGAAACGATTTCAAGTGAGAAGATTGACTGTCCCTATAATTTTACACGTGTGATCTGTATGAATAATAGATTAGATCTTGATGAAAAGCTTAGATTTATCGAAGAAAACCAATGATTTTTCTCAGAATCAAAAGAGAGAGAGTACATAGAGATGGAAATAGAATTACAGTGTCTCAACCTATGATTATTTCTGTCATTATATTAAACAAATTCCTATTTCCACGAAATATTCCCCGGTCAGAACCCCTCAATATAAATGTTCTGTAATCTCGATGCTATTGTCGTCTAATATAATCAACTTGCACGGATTAATGAACTTTTATCACAATATTTATCCAAAAGCTCGATGAAACATTGAACAAAGTCGTCGGTTCTAATAACAACTTCCTCCTAGAACGCACTCGCGACAAGGAATAATTTCCTCCTAGAAACCGTTTCCCGGTCTCTATGGCAACCCGTTCGACTGGTCGATCACACAGCGAGAGAGAGAATAATCCATTTATTTATGTGCTACAAAAGGCACGTAGACCCTCCGCTTGCTACAAATGTCAAACAGCTGACCTGATTGAGCCCATGTGAACACTGTATGCCATTCAGGTGTTTCAAAGTTTGATTGAAATATTCGGTGGATGATCAGGAATCCCGGATTTGGTGTGGCTACTACAAATTCACTAATATCGTTTATTTTTGTGAGTGACAAGGATTCTATAAATCCACTTAATATCATCACTAAATCTGGCACACCACGACAGTTGAAGTCTTAAGTGGCTGTAAATTGCAACGAGAAAGGCATTCTCAGTCAATGGTGGGCCGGTGAAGGTTATCAATTTGTACAAGAATTGCATTTCCGTTCGATAAATGGAGAACGCAGCCGTACGTAATTCTGAATGAAAACGACTGAAGGTTTCTTTTATACCTTTTTCATACGCGATAAACAACAAATGTTGTCCGGAAACCATTCGGAAGGTGATTATAACCATTTCGTGTTTTGCCTTTTGTTGTGAACGGTTCTCCTTAGAGAAATCAGCCCCGCGGAAAGAAAAAATGAGCTCGTTCACGACAACGTTCGCTTTGGCAAGGATGCACCTTCTTACAACTACACTTGAGTTCCCTGTCAATGAATAATATGTGTATTTACCGATCTTTGAAGATTCAAATTCAAATTTTTATGGTAGGTAAATTAGAAAGCTGATGCTTATTGAATCCCATAGGATCTCCACACACACTGAGTTCGGTTGGTAGTACAATTAAATAGCAAATANTCACTCACGGGTGCTGAACACTTAGATCTTTCAATGTTTCATCCACTAGTGACTTGGATAAATCGATGATTGGTGTACAAACAACTTGAGGTGGAAGAAAGTTCCAGGTGTGACAAACTCTAACTGAAAGAATGACGCTTGCAGTCTAGCCGACTCTTTTGGGGAAAAAGTTTAAACGCATGTCCTCGGAGGTGGCCATTCCTGAATAGTGTTAGTAGAGTGGTTAGGTTGATGTAGTATTTTATATACGAGGATCATGTCTTCCCGTATTCGGCGATATTCAAACGAATAGAGTCCGATAATGTGCAACCTTTCACCGTAGGTATTAGATTGTAACCTTTTGACCATTTTGGTTGCTGTTCTCTGCGGACGTTCGAGTGCCTTTTCGTTGCGAATCAGCCATGGATTCCAAGCCTGTATAGCATACTCAGTGTGTGTTCTAATGTATACTGATAGCAAATGGGGCAATCGGTCTGTTTCGAATGATCCAAAAACACGTTCTAGTAATCCTCACAAACGATAACTCCCACGTCCTTTTCGTTTGGAGAACGCGAGAAAGCGACGCCCTTTGGCGCAGTGATACAACCTTGCATTTCTCAACGTTGAATTGGACGTCATTACTCATAGACCATCGGTAAGCTGCGCCGAGAGTTTCCTGTCTTAATTTCTTTTTAATAGTTGACCGTTTTCTAAACAGATTTTCGGATAAAATGACAATAAAACTGTCTTATTCATTCAATATATCTGATTTCTAAGAATGTGGTGTGTGGTAAACTTGTAATCCATTCGAATTCAGCAGACAACTTTGAGTGGACATTTATTTTCACCAAATTCATTTTTTCCATTTCTAGCCTGATAAAGCCACCTGTGTGTACGACGCAGTCTATGCAAAAGAGGATGATTTTAACCCGAAATTGCATCGTTCTGATCGACGACACGATAAAATGTATGGTTTGCATACTAACGATGAGGTAAGAAGTGTAAGTAAATGACACTAGTCGCTCAAGTGAGTTCACCGGACCGCATGAAATGTTTGCAATAAAATTATATCCCTAATAGATTGCATAAAAGTATCCCTACTATTTTATGCGTTAAACAGTGCTACAACGTTACCATCGTACGTGATGTTATGTTGTATGTTGTAACGTTGGATTGGAAGGTAAGACCGAAATAACACGAGCCGTAACCAGCGATACGTGCGGCAGCAGTGACCCACGAACCGAACCGTACGACCCAGCGGAATAGTGGCGGAACACTGGTGCGCCCGACTGCAGTACCCAAAGCAAGTCCCAATTCGAACCAGAAGGAAACGTCCCACGAAAGTAGTACGATCCCCGAAACCCAACCAGAGAGATAGGCCTTAAGGCGAGGCTGTATTTTTCGTGCCCACCGTAAAAGACGAAGAAAGGGAACAGCTCATCCGCTTATATACAGTTTGGGGACCGGCCATCAATGACCTTGAAAAATAGCTCAAAAGTAGTGAATTATAGAAAAATGGGCCAATGGGAAACAAGTATGGCCAGGAGTGCAGTATGAGTCTTTGTGGGCGCAAAAATCTGGAAATTCAGATTTTGTAAAATTCAATAGAAACATAGGGAAAAATAGAGGGGAACAACCACTTTTATGGTAAAAAATAAAGTCTACCTATCAATGAGTAAACTACATTGTATTGTCATTATTGAATTTGAAACGCTTTGCTTTACGATAAATGACTATGTTTTGAATTTGATTGATTTTGCGAAACTTATCGGGTTCGCTCGAAGACTAACCTCGTCATTGTTGGCATTCGATTTATTCCTTTTTTTCTCATAGTTTCATTTGTTCTTTTTCCTCTCTCCTCTCCCGCGATCCAAGTGTTTAAGCATCATCCTCAAACGAGCTGCTGTCAATGTAATACTTTTTTCTAAAAGCAGAGTTTTATCATCATGACAATTTAATGGTTGTTCTAAGAATTCGGCTGATGTGGATATTACCATTATGTTTATGATTCAAGATAGGCAGAGACCAAACTTTTCCACACCAATCACACCAAATTGTTTGGTAATTTTCTCTTTCAAATTTATGTCTGTCGTTCGTTTATTCTAACAGTTGGTCTTGGCAAACAAATTGCAGTCAACCCCTAAGTAAGTTGTTGCGCGGAAAGATGAATCGAAGTGATCGAGTGCCCAGACTGGAAGATCGACTAGACAATAGTCGTCCTTGGTGTCTGATGTGGTTGCACTAATCAGTCTCAGGCTTTTTAACTACAACCAATTTCGGGGTTGGTTAATTTCACCAATTATACCACCTTTTGTATCCCAAATTAATCACCGAATCCTGGCCACAGGTAAGGGGGATGGAAAGTTGTGTATGGCGTAGAACAGTTTGCATTCATTGAAAAAAGCATGAAATTAAAGTTCGAGGAAAAGAAAAATGTCCATGATTAATTGCGTTGTGGTCTGTCGTACTGCTTTGGTTGCCTGGTTCAGAGGCACACTCCAGCGCGAAATGCGAAATGGTCAGTTTTTTGGTTTATTCGCCTCTTCTGGAAAACCTCGTCGGGCAAGGGATCTTTGTAAGGGGCAATAACCATATATATAATGTTGGACCACATTCACAGAGTCATAGCACTGTCCACAAATATATTTGGTGTTTTGTGCGGAGAACCTTAATAAAAAGGTTCTCTGTTATCTTTTGTCTTTCGCACCGTTCCCTTTTGTTCCCCATTGCCACCCCGTTTTTGTTATGGTTGCTGTTATGTTGGTACCATGCTTGTTTGTAAGCCGGTGACACGCATTCGATCACTGATTTAAGTATACTTTAGGAAAGATCCTATTGTATTAGAACGCGCGACCATTAGTCGGCTTTATTCGCACCATTTAATCCGAATTGGAAGCGTTTTTTGAAGGTGACTTTCAAATGAGAGTGATATAAAGGACTATAAGAACTACATCATGCCTGACCGGAAATACATTTATACTAAACAGAGGTGTTTTCGGTAACATGCAACAGATTGGGATCTTTGAGTTTAACCGTCAACCAAACTAGTATTTCCATATCAATCTCATTATCATTAATAATGTTTTTTCTGAAAAGATAAACCATCTGTACTAAATGGTACAGACTAATTCGAACGGTGAAATGATTACGATTACCGTGTATGCTGTGCGAGAGAAAAAAGAATTTGGTAATGGTTTGAAAAAACTGTGCTTTTCTTTTATTTCGCAAATCAATTTTGTCCATTGTGGTTACTTCATAAATTTTATTCCACTTCTTGAACCAAGTAGTTTAACATCAATGAAGCTTACTGGAATGCCAGACGAGGTGGGGTGGGCACAGAATGTACGTTCGAATCACAACTTACATCATCGTGTTGAATATGCGCAAACGGTTGGCCGTGAATAGGCGTCACTTGATAAAACACTTTGTAAATCTTCGAATAATCCGCACCGTACCCTTTTTTCCACCCGGTTGGCCTGAGCACTATAGTTAGATACGCCCCACACGCACACTGTGACGGTTCCGGATTTTATCAGTACTCATCGACAATACGTTATAACACTGTGTGAACGTTGCACATTTCCCATTCAACTGGTCAGCATAATTTCCGAATTTTCTACGGTATGCTTTCTGAATAACAGGTGGGAATTGATTTCGTTTCTTTATTCGACAGGAACAAACCAAAGCTGTTCCTTCACTGTCTTCCTCGATCTACGGACATCGCCTTGAGAACGAGTTGGAATTCAAAGATCGATCACATGTGCGAACTATGCTTGTTCAGGGCGAGTTCTTCCGACGCAACGGGATCGATCTTTGATTGTGATTGTTTTGCACGGAAAGAAGCTGTTACCCGGCTTCTCTTGATTCGTTCCTAAATTTAGTCCAAGTTGCAGCTCTACCCTCTACCTATTTCTCGACAAATCTCGTACGGTGGTTCAGGTTCTGCTTTTTTGCACTGATTCCAATAGTAGATGATACTTTCGCATAATCACATCTCTTATTCGGAGCCTCAGAAGAAGATAACACGTTTTTGAAACCACACCCAGATGAAAAGAGCCACAGGATTAGAGTGGAACATACTTTATTTCTGTTTGCCACTTATTGTTTTTTTTACCCTCCATAGGGTAACATAATATAAAGATAAAGTTACGTGAGTACTTTTCTTTCTGACCGAATGATTGTCACTCATATCAGATTGGTTTATTCGGTCGAACACTGCAGTATCGACGTATCTACTCATAATTTTACAAATAGATCGCAAGTTCTTCGAATTTTACTTCATTCTTATTGATCGTACAAAGCAGAGGAGCGACTGACACATTTCCACATACTGTTCAGTCGATTGACAACCCAGTGCCAACTTTTTACGGGATTGTTTGTCATATCGGTTGAAATGCTCATCGTGGTCGATGTGGTGATGGAGCACAGATATGGATTAGACATATTTTTTGAACCAGGCCAAAATGCTTGATTGTTCCCGAGAGAACTCAAAGTGAAACTTCCGAAATCGGATTGGTCATGCGTGGGATCTACTTTCTTTGAGTTCGTTTTGGGCTCATTTTGTAAATGGTCGAAATCAAACCGTATGGAATCATCCGTCCCGGCTCGCGAATTCGGACGGGATAGGAAATGTGCGATCACTTCGAGTATTTCTCGGGCTATCTGCATACGAACATCGGAATGTGCGCATACTGAACTTGTGGCCGGGGGTAAAATGAATGTGTTCGGTAGCTGACGTAGCGCTTCCAATTCGGCCAGACGAGAGAACCAAACTATCGGCATAGTCAAACCAGCACCTCGTAGTAGACCGCATCGAAGAGCCAAATTTAACGATGAAAAGTCGATACATTGAACTGATAAAATTCACAAGGTCAGGGGAAGATGAAGAGAACCTTATTTAAAACTACTCAGTCTGTGATATGATTATTTTTCAAATACTTGCAAAAAGTGAAATTTTCAAACATCTCACGATACTACTACTGAAATGAAAGATCATTGCAAATTTCTAAATCCGGTAGATTGGGAACCGACTGATAAGCATAAGTCTGTTTACAGAAACAACCATTTCCACAGTTCTTTTACAGCTGACCATGAAAACCTAACTAATCTGATGATGTATCGATTACTGTTGTGTGAGTGGTCTGATTCCAACAGTTCCGAAATCAATGGCATTGTCATCAACCATACAGTCAAGATATAACAAGCTACAAATTATATCGAAGATGTTCCCTGTAATTGCATCTGTTCACTACCTCAAACTGATTATCCTCTGCTGGAGGATTCCGATCGACAGAGCTGTATATGGTAATCAACAAACATACCTCCATGTATTACGTGCATTTGGATGCAGCTTACCTTTCGTTCATATCATTTCCGAACGACAGACAACCAAACATCTTGCGTGATACACAGCTTTAAATAAAACAGAGAACCACACGCTCCACCTTGCCCCTGATTCTAACTACTACAAATTATAGACCGAGAATGGAAATTAGTACGGAAATCGATTGGTAAACTTTTGTACCAGGTATATTGTTCAGCTCATTTAGCCTCAGTATGGTCGGGGGTGGGTGTCTCGGTTTACTGTTGGTCACCCTCCCTCGCACCTCACGAAATGCTCCCATACAACCAAACGTCTCAAATAGCCTCTGCTGAGGAAGCCCTACTCACTCCCTTTTCATGACTTAGGTGTTTTCCCATCAAATTGGGAGGACGAAAAGCCGATATCCGGGGCTATAACCGGGTTGGTGGACCACTGGTCGTTCACCTAGGGCCAAAAGCCCTGATTCCAAATCAACCAAGAGGAGGGGTACGAACCACACACACCTTACCGGTTCTGGCAGTGGTCACCGGCTTGATTAGACATCGAGGTGTATCGGGCACCTTGGACGTTTGACCCCGTCGAAAGGGTGTATGATCCGATGAATTAAACACCGGCCCCCATTGGAAGTTGACTTAGCCAAAGTACACGATTTCTTCAGAGATTCACAACCGGAACCTTCTAAAGCCTAGTCCCCAGATTTTGTGAGACGGCGTGAGCAGAACACAGTCGGATAGTTGGTTTTTTAGATGCGGTTCACATTTACACTTATCTAACTTTGCTAAAGCTTTCACTCTGGTTATAGTCCTGGATTCGTGCGAGGATAGTGACATCAATTTGCTTCCAGATGACAGACTGTTTGATTTAGAGTACGCAGAAAACATTGTACTGCTAAGTGAAGATCCAGGTAAGCTTCAAAATTGTAGGCATGTTCGGCATAAGTTTTGAACATTCAAAGTGTAAAATATTGCTATAGGACTGGGTTGGTCTAGCTCCCTATATCCCTCTAACTGGAGAAGTAACAGAGGTAGTGAACTAATTTTGCTACTTGCGCAGCTAATTCCCACTCGATGGATGCATCTCAGATGAAGNCGGCACGCATACAGAAGGATCGATTGGCATTTGCCAACAAAAGACATCTGTGGCACCGTCGCGGTATCCAACTATAGATGAAGGGTTGAGTGTAGGCTTCAGCAGTTCTTCCACAGCTACTTTACGGTGCAGATACCTGGCAATTACGAAAACAGAATAAAAATAGATTGTCGGTGTTCGAACACCGTTGTCTACGTCACATTGTACGAATCTGGTGGGGAAACTGAAAGAGCAATCCCGAGATTGGACTCAGAGTTTTAGGTGATCACGGTCGCCCACCGGAGAAAATGGTCAACCTCCATAGATTACACTGTTTGGGACGTGTTGCTCATAGCCGTAAATAGGTTACCACGGTGCGTGCTGTTTTCCGAGGCAGGTGATGGGCGGAAAAGAGTATAGGATGGTCAAACTAATACCTGTCATGAGGGCAGGAGAATCCTGACCAGGATACTTGCACACATTGGCCGCTTTAGGTTCTCAGGATTCTAACCACGGAATCAACTTAGCCAATGGTTAGAGACACTGAGTAGTATGGCTGAGTGACGTAAACAGTGCTGCTCGTGCACGTATGCATTATCCCTGCAACCTTAGCCTTAATGAAATCTCTATTTTCACCCTGACACTGACCTGCGCATCCCAATGTTCCCATTACTGCTTCATCCAAATTATCAACCATGAGACAGAAACAAAATCTAGCGCACCATAGTGCATGCCTAATGCTTGTAAGAACTGGAATTGAATTGAACTGATGGCCTACTTACGCTGAAGTTTTGGTCACTATGAGCAGGCATCTGTAGTATCAGAGGGCGTCCGTTATTACTATTTCTCTTGGTGACATTACTGTTAACTGTGTGACTAATAATGCTACAATCCATCAAACAACCATCAGCACTTGAAAATGGTGAAATCGACAAATTCACGAATGAGACTTAGTGGTAAGGTACAAAAGTATCGTACATTGCGCAGCATTGCATGCATATGAGACACCCTTCCCAAAGCGTCAAAGTAAAACCTATTACGAACTATTTGCGTTTGAGACAGTGGTTGCACTCCTGAAGAGAGATTCGTATTGTCCATCGGTATTGCAAGAACTGGAATTAGTGAACACAAAGCATTATATTAACGGAGTACAACGGTGTTGCGCATGCATTTTGCAATTCAATCTCGAAAGCACGATACACGTATATCACGTTTTTCGTCATTTCTTCAATTGGATTCAAATCTCGATACGAAACGCTTCATATATTAACATACTTCAGCCTCTTAGACTAATTTCTGTTGANCTGTTGATGACAAGAATTAACTGTAAAACACACTTCATTGAAACACCAATCAGTTGTCCGGGTAGCCCTGTACATAATAAATAATACTAGTAGGCACACAACTATCCACTCACTGTGTGTATAAAGTGTTTTGAATACCAAAGCATTATGGTCAATCTGAAGCTGTGCTCTATTGTGAACAACCTTGAATTGACTTCCCCAGTGTCCGTTTCTTCGCTGGCGCAAGACAAATATGCACCTTATGAACAGAAAGCTGATAAATAAGACTTTGATTTCAGTTGAGACCTAATTTTCATGTCAGACTGGATCGTGCTGTTTGAAAATGACGTGCTTTTCTATTCAACTCTGTACCAAATGCACAAACCGTATTGTTGTATTGTCGTTCATGCATGCGATAAACAGGGGTCTGTAAGCACTTACTGGATGTGACGCATATCAGTACGGAGTGGGGTTGTAGACAGGTGAAATGTTCAAGTGTGAGCCACAATCGGGGTTTCCTTTTGTGTTTCACCGAATTGTATCGGTAATACTGTGACTTTGGGTCGGTTGGGATGTTTCGGTTCAAATCATCGTCAGCCAAAATGACCACATCACTGACTTGAAGTAATTCTTTCAAGTTCTCATAATGTGTATAGGGAAGACTGGGACTAGGAGAACGACACACGGACAGATGGAATGTGGAACAAATCTTAGACTATGCGCGGTTGTAGAACATGAAAAATAAGTTTATTTCATTGTTTAAAATATAGGATTGTGTAAGTCTATCTTAACCATCAACTAAATTGCTGAATTTTCCGTATATACTATCATTATACATTGTCAGAAAACAGAGTAGCGAACAAGCTCGTTTGCGGTGATTCTTCTACAAGCTAATACATCACAATTTATATCAAACTGTGTAGTAGGGGGAAAACATGTCAAGATGGAAAAGAAATAATCAACGTTCCAGTTCCATGACCGGATGTTGCTCACACTTTGGTCCTCACACATGCGCACTGGTTCGGGTCATTAGGGGTAGGTGAGCGATGGCTGTGTTGTGTGTATTGTCGGTCATGGAAGACCGACTGTTCTTACGAATTGTTTTTGCGAGAACAGAGAGGGTTATGTAGACGGATTCCGATCGCTTCCGTTGCGACTCCTAATCCTCTTAGATCGACTGCTGCGAACTAAGGAGAGGGGTCAAAACGCCTCGGCCGCATTAACCACGTGGTTTGATTCCACTAGATGTGAAACGATCGAGCTGTTGATAGTCTTGCTTACTCAACTATTCAACCAGGCCGGGTGGTGCTCACGGACTCCTTTAGATAAACGTCTGTTCTTGCGGCCAATGTACCTTGTACCACAGGAACAGGTAAATAAGTGCACACAAAAAGGACGGCAGAAACAGACAATTGCTCTTTGAGTTGAAAGCATAAAAGTGGCCTGGAGATGAACACAATGCATAGTTTTGCTGGGGGGAATGCTTTTCTACAACTGTAATCAGTTTACACGTCACAATCTCTGCAATTGTGTTGGCCTTGAAAGGTAATGGTCTGTAAATCGGTTTCTTCCTAGCGGTAGTGATCTTATTTGGCAACTCCTCAATATGTTGTTGAACGAAAATCCTATACGCAAACCATTATCGAGGTTTGCTTTCATGAATCATGCCACACCATCAGCCTGGCTCGCATTATCTTTCAGCTATTCTTCGCGTTTCTTCAGCGGAAAAAATTTATTCTACTCACCTTTTGTTGAATATCCAAAATTCAAAGTTTTATTATGGGGATTACTTACACCCTCATGCTTATCTTGTCCCCATAGGATATTTACACAAATGAATCTTTTCTCAGCAAAAAAATGATAAAATTTTACATATAGTTTCGGATAGAAGATAACGCATAATGCAATCTTCAAATAATTTGCGTTTTTAGTTGTATACAAATGTCAAATATGTCTACGTTTCATCAAGTCTCCGTATGAAAGATTCAACACTTGGAGCTTAAACATTATGGACGTGTGAACGCTCAAACACCTTCCGATCACGTTGCAATCATGGACTCCAGGCTTGAATGGTGTATTCTGTGTACGGTCGAATTTACCGTGACAGCAAAACGTGGAAACAACACTGATTCAATTCGCTCAAAGACTCGCCAACATTCTTCATTGCAGCGAGTGAAGCCTTGGCGCAATTGATCGAGCAACTTAAGTCCTCTTGAACAAATATACTTACGTCCTTCTCACTCGGGGCATATGGTAGCTGGTAGTTTCTGAGGAATTACGAGACTCAACTCCTGCGGGATAGGAATAGGGCATTGCATTTGAAAAAAAATCGAATTCAATGCCGGTCTCCGTAGATCATTGAAGATCTGTGTTAAGTGTTTCTTAAAATAATAGCAACCCCTCGGATTCTGTTGTTGTATTGTAGATTTTGCCTCGTCTGCGAACTGTATTGTTTTTGGTTCCAACACATTCGGTAGATCATTTATGAATGCAAGAAAAAAATGGGTGTCAAGTAAAAACCCTTATGGAATACCGCGGATAACGTTGATAAAACTGGATTAGAATCAGAAACACGAACTCATATGGTCCGTTGGTGGAAGAATCCTCTAATCCAGTAGGGCGGTGGTGACCAGGTGGTAACGCCACCAAATTATCACCCCGGGGATGTGTGTTTGAATCCCACCACCACCGTCTGACTTTCCCCATTGTGTGTGTTGAATGGCAGCCCGTTTGATTGTCCGCTTCCCCCTTCCTGAAAATTGTATCATTGTGTATTCAATAAAAGGAAGTAAGATTTTTTTAATAATAAAAAGGGTACAAAAATTGAGTAACTGTAGAGTTTCTGCAACAAAAGTTGGTGGTTTTCCCGATAAACTAACTCAAAAATTTATTTCTTTTTTCTTTTTCATTTCAACTTCCTTTTATTAAATGCAGAATGATACAGTTTTCAGGAAGGGGAAGTGGTCACTCAGGGGGCTTCTATACAACATGCAGAATGGGGAAAGTCAGGCAGTGTTGGTGGGATTAGAAAATACGTCCCCCGAGGTGATAATTTGGGGACGTTACCACTGGACCACCACCAAATGTGTACGGTGAAACATGTAAAAAATTGTCCTCGTTATTCAACTAACCTTCTGACCCTCTTTTGCTCTGCTTTGTATCCCAACCCCCATTTTTTGTCAATCTAGTTGTTGCGTTCGTAAACTTTGGGATGTATATATATATATATATATATATATATAT